GCAGTATGCCGAAAATATAAAAAATATAGGCATGCCGTAATGCCGTAAATCACCCCTAATTTAGGCACACATGTATAGGCTATATCAGTTCCAAACTAGCAGTTAACTATATAAACTAGTTTTAACTAGTTGCATGAACCGGTTTATAAAATTTATGTAGCTAGTTAATAAGAACTAGTTAAATTTAAGTTAAATTAACTAGTTTTGCTAATTACATAATGATTGGGATTGTCTAAAGCCAGGTAGTTTTTAAGTTGATTAATTAATAATAAATTTGTAATAAAAGGTCACGTGAGGCATATAAATACTATCTGGCTTTAGATGATCCTCAAATTAGTATAAATTGTTTCATTATCATTTGTGTAAAGTTTAAAATTATTAAAAAAATAGGTTTTTATTTAGTTGAATTACGATGAAGTACTACTATTGTAAAGGAACTGTTTTGGTATAATGCTCTATTTTGTTCCAATAATGAACCTAAATTGTATTTATTCAAATACAACCGCTATATATCAACTATAAGTAGTATGCGAGAATAATTAATTAAATCTTAGAATTATTTAATTTGATGAGGGGTTTGATTAAATAAAGTAATATAATTATATAATGCAGTGGTAATAATTATAAAATGAAGGGTAATTTAGCAATTTTATTTAATAGTTATAAGGTTCCAATTTATATATTTAAAATTTCGATTCTTATGTTTTGTGATCAAGAACATCAATGTCTTAGCCTTATAAGGTTCAAAACTAAATCTTTTACAATTTTTTATAATGATTTGAACTTTATTTTGGTTTGAATATTAAACCTGCTGTTAAAACCAAAATTTCACATATCGATATAATTTTATTTAATTTCCAACAATTCACCAATTTGGAGAGAATTTATGATATATTGCAAAAAGTAAAATAAAACTACAAAACTTCATATTATATACTGTGTAATTAAAAATGTTGTTATATTACTTATTATTTTTTAACCATCTTCTATTATATTTTTAATTAAACCTGCTGTATACCAGGTCTTTAGACAAAGAGTTGCATGAGCTTTTTCAGGATCCAATTGATTTCTGGTTGGACTAATTGTAAACTTTGCAATACTAAACATTTGTTCACTTGCTACGCTTGTTGCTTGAACTATTAAATAGTTACAAGCCATGCAAGCAAGTGAAGTTCAGCGAGGATCTAAAGATTTAGCTTTTTAATATATAAGAATATCAACTTCTTCGATAGGTAAACTTAGATATTCTTTAAGAGAATTATCATTATCAACAAACATGTCATAAGATTTTTTAAGATGCTGATGAAAATAATCCTATGAAGATCTAGTTTTGTGTTGTTCTATAATTTTATTATTATTTTCAATTAAATAATATGTTCTATAAATTTTATGAATTACTTTTTGTGTTTTGCTTATATCTTTGTTTTCAAATAGTATCAGCTTGTTATTTGGATCAAGAATTGCTGCTTCATAAAAAGTTGCTTTAAGTTTATTTCAATACTTGTTTAATTTTGTTTTTATTTTTTGTACAACTAGTTGTAGTATACTATTTTTATTTTGAACTTCGTATAATGTATTTATAATAACAGAAAATACTATACGAAGATCTTTAAGTGTAGATACTTGATAATAAAAGAAGATTTGTAGCATAATAGATAGATTCAAGCAATTCAATTAAAGCCTAAAATATTAAAATAATTTTATTATTATTATTATTATTTTTTTTTTTTTTTTTTTTTTTTTTTGAATTTTAATTTTTTTTTATTAATTATTTTTAAATTATAAATATATATTAGT